AGGGGGTAGGAGCACCCCAGGAAATCCAGCTAGGGCCTAAGGTCAAGCAGGAAGCCATACCAGAAAACACACCTCCTAAGGGAAGCCACACCCCTTAGCACAGACCCTGGTAATAGCCAAAGCCACTAACACAATAAAGAGGTCATGCCCACAGAAAGTCAGGTCCTGTGGATGAGGCCACACCTCTAAAGCTCCTCCCATCCCGAATGCCACTTTTCCAACACCCCAGACTGACCTATGACACGAAAATGGATGATGGTGGCAGGACCCGAGTTGACAGTCCCCAGTTCGCAGCGGTAGCTGCCGGCATCCTCTGCACTCACCATCGTCTTGGTCAGATAGGGTTCTTTCCCCTTGGACAGCAAGATCTCAGAACTGTTCCCCCAAACCTAGACCCAAGCTCAAGGGGTCACAGAGGCCTGGGGTATTTGGGGGCTGGGGGAGTACAGGGTGAGAAGGTCATGGGGCCTCAGTGTAGGGGAAGCAGGAATTGGGGCTTCTGACCTCCCTAATCCTGACAGGAAGCATCATAGACTCACTACCATCCAGGGGGCGTGGCTGGGACCGGCCAGTCCCTGGTCAGGTCATGGGATCCCTCTGGGGATCAGGAGAGGTCACCTCTAACAGGCCATGGGGGTCTGCTTTAGAACAGGGGACCCAGGGGCTCACTCAGGTCTAACAGACTTAGGGTCAAGGGCCACAGGAGTTGGGTGTCCCCACCCTGTAAAAACTGTAGTCCGTAAGTCCCTCAGAAGCGTGATGCCAACTGAGCCCACAGTCCAGGAGCATGTCCTCCATGCGATGCACCTCTATCCTGCGCTCTGCAAGAGGAGGTGGGGCTGCAGCTGCCTCCTTCCCACCCCAGCCCCTCACACGAGGCCCTCGAGCCTGTGGCATGCTCACCCCCGCAGTCCATGGATTTCCGACAAATGTGGATCTGCTTCTCGCACTTGTTACACCAGATCAGGGTCTGCAGCATGGTGCCTGAAGAGCGAAGGTTAAAGTTGTACTCTCCCACTAAGAGGTGGGGCTAGAAGGAGACTGTGCCAAAGTCAAGGGCTGGGGCAAGCGGTTTGCTCCAAGCCTCTACCATGTTCGTGCCCCCACCGAAGGAGTGCAGCAACCCCACCCACCACCTAAGAAGTCCAGGCTGGACAGCGTGCTCCAGGTCCAGGGAGAGAGCGGACGGAGGAGAGTGAAAATCCCCCATCACATCAGGGAGGCTCCCGGGGCATAGGGATACATTATGCATATTGGACTCACCACATTGATTGGGACAATAAACTGCCTCCGAAGGGAGAAAGGAGGGACGAAAAGAGAAAAAATCAGAGTCATTTTTGCTTTTAGAAAGGAGTCTCAAACGCTTGAACATTTTATCTCTTGCCTTCATCCATCAAGCCCTATGATTACAGGAATCTGTCACTACAAGGCATCTCAGCATTAAGCTCAAGGTGACCTCAGAGTTGCAATCCTCCTGCCTCAGCCTCCCAAGTGCTGGGATCACAAGCTTTGCTACCAAGCCCCAGAGCAGATGCTGAACAGAGAGGTAGGGGGTTCAGGAGTTTTTAGGCAGGTAGGGAAGGGTCTGGGGGAGGTGTTCTTGAAGGCATGACTGGAGGAGGGGCTAAGGAACCCAGTGGCCGGGGTCCTGGACTTGCAACTTCCCTGACCTTCTTTTTGGAAACGTGTAGCAAGGGTGGCAAAGATGTCCTTTTGCAGACGAAGCATCCAGAATAATTCCTTCACAAAGAGCTCTCCTAGGAGGAAGCAGAGCCAGGAAAGGTGCTCCCCAAACAGGCGTGAGCCACCAGGATTTGCACTCCATAGGCCACAGCTACTACTACCAGTGGCCTCAGATTTGCCGTGCACCCAAGGGTGACCTTGAACACCTGATCCTTCTGCCTCCATCTTCAAGCATGCACCAACATCCCAACCCCTAATTTTGCATCTCTCCTGAGTCTCACCATGAAGTCTTGGCTGGCTTTGAACTTGCTATGTAGACCAAGCTGGGCTCAAACTCGGAGATCTGACAGCCTCCCCAAGTGCCAGGATTAAAGGCGTGCCCGCCACAACCAGCTCCACCTTGCTAATTTGCGTAGACAGGATGTCATTATGTTGCCCAAATTGTTCTGGAATTCTAGGTTAGGCAATTCTCCTGTTTCAGCCTCAGGTAGCACAGGCCTGCCCCACCTGTCTGGGCTGGCATTCCACATTCTAGCCCTTCAGGGAAGGTCAAGCACTGAACACAGGGCAAGAAATGCACTCGAGTTAATTCACTTAATCCTCATAGCCAATGAGCAAGGAAGATGATCGTGATCTCAACAAGGGGGCTGAGGAAGCTGCCAGGCCCCAGGCCCCAGGCCCAGGCCCCAGGCCCCAGGCTAAGAAGTGGCCAAGCTAGAAGGCACTCACGCAGACAAGAGTCTGAACATCTGCTCTAAGCATCACCAGCCATGGGCTCTCTGAGGGTCTGTCAGCATCCTTGGGTGCATTTACCTTTTACATCGCTGTCCGTGATACGTTTCAGATCCTTCAGAAAACTCCAGGATGCCTGTTCCAGTGTGTCCTCATCTGTGTGTGGAGGGCAGGTACAGACCTGAGTTCAGCTTTTCTAGCTCACTGGCTTGCCATCTCAGAGAAACTACAATACCCATGAGGCGACCAGGCAAAGAGAGACCTGTTGAAGACTGGGACTTGTAGTTTTATCACACAAACTTGCTAGAACCAATATTTGTGAGTTATGGGGAGGGACTCCATGATTCTGAATCCTAAGACTTTTTCATTCTGTGTGTGTGTGTGTGTGTGTGTATGTTGGCATTGTTGTTGTTATTATTGTTGTAGAGACTCAGTATGTATCTCTGGCTCTCCTGGAACTCTCTAGACCAGGCTGTCCCTGCCTCTCAAGGGCTGGGAATGAGGGAATGGACTATCACACTGCAGCCCCGTCACCCCTAGACTGGGACTTCTGGCCCCAGCCCTTCCTCTCCCAGGTCTCCAAGGTCTGAATCCTGGCCTGCCCTCCTTACCCACAGCCCCCACATAGGTATCCTGATCCAAAGGCAGGTCCTTGAAGTCCTTCACGGCCTCCTCTACCCTCTTCATGACGTTTTGGTGATGTTCGGGTGCCAGGTGGCTAGGCAGGTAACTCTGCTCCAATGTCTTCAGTGCAGCTACCACAAACGGGTCACATATGATGCAGGGCCTCGCTGGACACAGGCAGTCGGCCAGAGCCGCCAGCAAGAGTGTAAAACGTGGCCCCATGGAGGCCAGAGCGCACAGCTGGCCAGCACCGCCAGAGGCTCCTCGCACCCCAAACGGAGGACAATGGGAGGGCGCTAAACAGAAGCCAAAAACAGTCTTAGACGATTCCAAAGCTCAATTTGAGGGTCTTTGAGAAATTCCCAAGTCAAAAGGAGATATCATTAATCAAAGAATGGAAGCTGTGAATTTGGACCTCCTCCCAACCCAGGGGACCTCAAAATCTAGGGTCTTTGTTGTGTCTCTGCAACCTATTACGCCAGATCCCAAACTCAGGACCATTTCCAACCTTACCCCATTCAAACTTTCAACCCATGGCGCTCACTCTCCAACTACCCCAGATTCATGACTGTTAACTCCGAATCTGAGGATAGATTGCCATTCAGACCTGTAAGCCCTGAAAACCGTGTGACACCACAAACAACAGTTAACAATCAAACCAGAGAAACCATCAAAAGCCGGAGCAGTGGCACTTGGGAGGTTGAGGCAGGAGGAAGAAGTCAAGACCACTTTGGCCTACTTGAGACTCTGTCTCCAAATTAATTAAATAATTTGTCTAATAAGTAACCAACTTGGATATTAGCAAACTAAAAAGGTCTTCAGAATGAAAATTTTAAAAGCCCAATTCCTTAAACCCGAAGGCCCTACAAACACTTCAGCATGCCTCCAAAGCCATCCTCCGGCCTCTGGGGTACCTGTCTGCTCTTCCTCAAGGCTGAGACCCCCAACTTTCAGGACAAGCTTTTCTCAAACCTCCAGTACCTTAGCACCCTTCAACAGCCGCTCTCCAACTTCGTGCCCTCAAGCGCTAATGCTGCGCCCAGCTCAGTCCAGGTTCTGAGGATTTTTTTTAAAAGACTTTCTCACGACTAAAATTAAGGTTTTTCTTGAAAGACTGGGGGGAGGAATTTGGGTTTTTTCTAGTGGCTCCGAGAGTCACCGGTCGCCCCCTCCTCACAAAACATTTAAGCCACATCCCATGTGGGGGAATCCCAATTCCCTTAGAAATATTTTCTAGGACTCTCTTTGGTCCCGCCCAGAAGTCCAACTCTAAGTTTAATTGGACTGCAACAAAGCAGGCCCCGCCCGTCCCTCCATGACGTCACAGGGTGGCGGCCTCTTCGTAGAACTTTCCCAGCACCTACGGAACGGAAGCGGCTAGCCTACTCTGGCCTCCTCTGGTCTTCACCGCCCCCAGGTTTCCCGCAGGATGCCCTCTGGCTGGCTGGAAACCTTCGCGTCCAGATAAGAAGGTGCGGGAAGTGGTTCGTCTTCTAAACTGGGACTACAACTCCCAGAAGGCACTGGAGCGTCTGATGATCTGCTTGTCTCAAAGCCAGATAAGGAGAGGTCTGGATCCTAGCATGGTGACCCACACGCATAGTCCTAGCTCTTGGGAGGCTGAAGCTGGAAGAGTGCCACGAATTCCAAGCCAGCCTGGTCTATAGAGTGAGTTCTAGGCCAGCCTGGGCCACAGAGACCATCTCAAAATAAGACAAACACAAGACAGGTCTGGTGGCCAATAACGATGTTTTCAGAGAAAGTACTGAGGGAAAGTGGACCACAAATCCAGCAGCAAGGGTTACCAGATCTGAGTAGTAGACCCATGAGTCATGAATGTGCCCAATAGCCAAACACACACACACACACACACACACACACACACACACACACACACAGCACCTCTGTTGTGTCTCAAACTCACACATGCAGTACACAGTTCCAGAAACGTCAGATACATGTATTGGTGATGTGGCGCTTTAATTCACTGCTCCCTCTCTCTAGCCTGTACAGGCCAAGTTGGGAAAAAGTGCCGGGAAACTCCCTGAGAAGAACAGAGGTTTGTCTTGGAAGAAAATACAATTAGAGTATGTGCTATCTGAGGAAACCACCTTCATTCTTGAAAAGCATCAAGGATGCATGATCTCAGCCAAACGTCCCTTGCTTCCTCTGAGCCTGCGCATCTGCAGGGTTAGGCTGGGTTCAGGGGTCTGGACCACCTTCAGCCCTTCACCCCGGACCTTACAGCTGGATTTAGGGGCTTTGTAAGCCCAGGGGCACATCCTGAAGGCCTGGTCACCTCCAGAAAACACACCCTAGACCCCCTGTAGCATCTTCAGAGAAAGAAACCTCCTTGATCCTAAATCCAGGGCTATATGTGCATTTAAGCTTTGAACTCTTTTTTTTTTTTTTTTTTTTTTAGGTCCCTGGATGTTTAAGGACTTTAGCTCCTGAGAGCACGGCATCTCAGCAGCGGATCTCTCCCCTGCCCCACATTTTCACCCGTTTACTCTCCCCTCCCTAAGTAAAAGTCTTTGACATTTCTCTGGGGCCAGAATTCTCTGGACAGAGTTCAGATTTGCTCCGACTGTTCTCATCTTCCTAACAATGCTGGCTCCTGAAAGGTGCTCGTAGCTCCTCGTTTCTGGAAGCGAGGAGGTGTGCACCATCATTAAATTCTTCACTGCAGGGTGCTGCACAGGGACTGGACCAGGCACTCAGAAACAACCACCAAGCCCCCCCCCCCAGAATGGCTCCAGAAACCCAGGAGGCCATCTGGTGAGTCAGGAGTTTCTTCAGCCTCTGAAGCCCAGAAGCAGCTGCCCAGAGGTTCTGAGGAGGTGAGCCAGGGCGGTCAGAAGGCTTGTGGCTTACAGTGCTGACCTGGGCTTCTCCAACCGTGATGAAACAGTGTCCAGTTGGAGTGTCTGTAAAGCATTCCAGCGTTTCCAGAAAGCCCCTCATCTGGAAGCCTGGAAATGAGTGTCCCCGGCTCGGGGACTTCCGCAGACACACTCCAAAGCAGAGAGACACGGATGGCTGACTCTGCAGGGTCAGACTAATCTTAAAAGACTGTCTGACTCCCAAGGGTCAACCTGAGCCTTCAGTGGAGACAGGTCTGCGTTAATCCCCACCCACTCGGGCAGGAAGGCAGCCTTAGGCCTGAAGATCTTGAGAAATTCCGAGTCCGGCAGGGTGAAGTTGGCGAGGTAGACTGTGTCTCCGCCGGCGAGGTAGGCGGCCCAGAAGCCGAAGGTGCCAATCGTCATGACGGTGTGGTTACACTGGGTGAGCAGTGCGAAGTCCTTGGCCGGCGAACCCTCCTGCCCATTGCCAGCGAAGACCACGTCACCGCGGGACGTGTCGATGTTCTCCAAACACCATTTCATACCATTGCTGGTGACCACAAAGATGGGGTCTCTGTGGCGGGCCCGGAACCAGTCCATGGCCTGCTGCAGGTAAGCCCGGTCGGCCACCACGCCCTTCCAGCGGTTGGGCATCACCTGCAGATAGTCCCCACGACGCACGTGGACACCCACGAAGGTGTGAGGGCGGCCGCCGGCGGGGCCCAGGCGGAGTGCTCTCAGCAGGCCCTGGGCATCTTCCCGGAGGTGGTCATGCAGTGTGAACTCCCTGCGGACCTGTTCCCGGAGGTGGTGGAAGAAGGTCCAGGAGCAGGGGAATCCGGACAGCTTGAGAAACGGGTCCTCCAGACGGGAGTACTCCTCCGACATCCAGTCGTGGAGGACTAGGTGCTGCCACGGTGTGAGGCTGTCCACCTCGGGGTCCAGCACCGGCAGGGAGATGCGGAACACGGGGGCCAGCGTGGCGTGCATCTCAGGCAGGATGAAAGCCCGGCGGCCATTGAGCTGGGCCAGGGCCAGCAGTGTGGCATACTGCCCCATCTGGTTACCAAACCTGCCTCCTGGGGAGATAGTCCAGGTCCCCGGGAGTGAGGAGAGCGGCTCAGGACAGGAGGGGGAGGCATTGCGCATCTGCCGTGGGCGGGGCAGGCATACCATGGCCACTGGGGACCTCAGCAGGTCATAGCCTGGACACAGGACAGAGAGAGTGAGGCCATTTGGAAACAAGTTTCCTCCACGCAGGTGGAAAAAGAAGGTGCTGACGGAGAGCAGGCACACCAGCAGGAAGGCCAGGCAGAGCTGTCTCCGGCTGGGAGGCCACATGGCTGTGGGGAGGAAAGGTGAATTAGAAGGCACACAGAGTCTGGGACTCCTCAGGCTCTGCGAGCTGAAGTGAGTGACTCCTGGGGTCAGGTTCAGAGCCTAACTCCAGGGGTATGAAGCTTTGACTCTTGGGGATGAGGTCAGGAGCTATGCAAATGAGCGGCTGGAGGCCAGGACGGTCCAGGGCCTGCTGGGAACCTCATAATCTCAGCTACTTTCTCCGGGACACCTCCATGTAAGGGGCGCCTTCTGCCTCCCAGGCAGTGGTTGGGGACCAAGGGAAGCCCAGGTAAGGATTTTAGAACTTCAAAAGCAAGCCCCTGGGTGCTGTATAACTTCCTGTGAGACTGGAACAAACGTCTATTTATCCCACATTAAGGATCAGTTACGTACTAAAGAAACAACTCCGCCAAGTCTAACTGGCCTGGTGAACCAATGAATTTGTTGGGGGCCGCTTACAGAAGCTTGGGTGACTCCAAGGCAGCTACAGAGCCGAGCACAGGTGAGACTGCAAAAAAGCTGCGTGCCGGGAGGAGCCCTGCGGGTCTCCGAACTCAGCGGGTTTAATGTCCCAAGACTTGCTCTGGCAGGAGGGAAGGGGTTCCTAATGGGGAGAGGTTTGGGGTGGCCTCCAGGCTTGGAGGGTTAGGGTGAGAGGGGCCTCGGGAGTCTGGCATGGCCAGTGCCGACTAACCTGAGCTCCTTGCTTGGGGTACAAACGAATTCTTTCAGCCTGGGCGTCCAGTCCCAAAATGTAGCTTTCATCGGCTGCGTTTGGAGGTCGGGAGCCCCGGCTCCGAAACCCTCCGCTCCCGGCTTCCTTCCTGAAATCGACTGAGAAGGCTGAGGGCTCAGAGACCCGCGGGGAGAGAGAGAGACAGAGAGAGAGAGAGAGAGAGAGAGAGAGAGAGAGAGAGAGAGAGAGA